AAGCACTTCTGTGTGACGGTGACGGGAAGATCTGCTGTGAAGATCTTTTTGGTGACCTTTAATTGGCATGGAGTAGCGTTCCACTGACTTCAGAAGGATGACGACATGACCGCTGAATTTTCTAGGTGCTGACCATCAAAGTCAGACGAATAAGACAGAAGAAATATTTTCATCTATTTCTTGATGCCAGCTATTAAACATTCTAATATACATTCTTCTTGACGCGTGACTCCTCCACGTCAATAAATTTCATGAAGTACTCTACCAACCAACCATGTTTCTTGTTACCTGGATATAAGGAGGACACAGTTCCGTTGATTTTGATCACTTTCAGTGCAAGCTTTACCTCGTATCGTTTTTTTCATTAGAGTCATGATCTTGGAGGAGGTGCGCATTATTTGACATACGCTAATGTATGAATTTATTTAAATGTTTATGGGGCATCGATTATTACTGCCTGCGAGTTGTTGTTCCCTGATCCGAAGGTAGGTATTGCGACCGAAATACGTAATCATGCATTGTTTGGATATATGGATGGTTGAGTTATAATATTCCATCTGGAATTTTGATAAGCATGTCTTTATTCTAAACAGGATCATTTTAAAAGCATTCGTAATTCTGTGAAACCAAGTAACCAGAAGTTGACTAGCTGACATTTTCGAGTGTTCTCACCTTCTCGACTACCTTCACGACCCAGGTGAATTTAGTTCACCAAATTGCTACAGTTTGGCGACATCTACGCTTAGGCCTTAACCGGTTCTCTGCGAGTGAAAAACCCTCGCCATGGTAAACTGAAGCAGGAATAAAGTAGTAGTATTAGTAGTAGTAGTTCTTTTGCTGACAAAGAACAGAAAAACAATTTCCTGCACATTAAAAATTAAAAAAATAATTTTTTGGAGTTATGCAGGAAGGAAGGCAAATTCTTAAGTTATGTAACATTTTTCCATCAATACTGAACACATCAAACTTACTTTACTTGATTATCAACACAGTCTCATTCTCCTTCTTTCACGCGAAGCAACTGTCACTGAAATATACGAAGTATAATTGTGGTGGCCATAATCTCGCCCTCTCCGTATAGACGAATGCGAGCATAACTCATGACATGACCTCTAACATACAGATAAGTCAGGAAAATGTTCAAGGTAATTTGATGGAAACTTAAGTGATTTGAAAAGTGGTTTCCTTGCTAGGGAAATGTGAGAAACTGATGTCTACTTTGTTCCCATCTTCTCCAGCAACCTGAGTTGCTTTCCTGTCTCTAAATATGCATTTGCCATAAAACTCGGACTTACCTGATTCTTATCCATCTTTCTCCAACAGATTTCTTGAAATAATGTTAAAGTCAACCTGTAGGTCTTCTTACGGGCTGGGAACAAAGTCCAGTATCTGTTTGCTTGAGCGATGATGCGTTCTTCTTGAAACTTGCACAGTCCGTTCCCCTTGCCGCTTCAACTTCTTTGTTCTTGCAAATATGCATCACAGGCTCTTGTTTTTGCTGTTACACATTCGTTCGTCTTTTTCTTATTCCTTCTTCTTATTCTCAACGTATACTTTCACATGCTACACTGTGCAGTCTGTAGCTGTCATGTTTAGCGTTGGCAGCACAGGGGCACATTCTCTTATGAGGACATTTCAGTCTTCCAGAAGTGGTCAGTGCCACTTTTACCCTTTTACCTTTGCCACACAGTTCGTCGTTCGTTGCAGAAGTCAGCTGTCCCAGATAGGCGTAGTTTTCCGTCTTTCAAAACCTAAGCCCATTGACTTCGCCGATTCCTGGGTCACATGTTTGTTAAACATGACGAGTTTTCTTCAGGTTGATTTTAGTCCCGCTTTGACGCAGACGTCGTTCAGGCGGTATGGTGCATTACTCTCTGCGGTTCTTTGGAATACCTTCAGATGGTCCGTATGTGGTCGGCAAACAGCAGATGGCTTGAGTAGTGCCCTCGCAATTGCAGCTCCTGATTTTTCAGGGGAAATGCCTTGAATACCCTTTCTAAGCCTTGCGCTGCAGTTCTCAGGGTCCTGAAGATGACGACGACAAGTATGCATTGAATTGGAATAAAGCAGTAGAGGTTCTGCTTTTTGACTGATTTATTCATAGGCACATATAACTTTTTTAGCAACTTGAACAGAAGGTCAATTAATCACCTGTCGTGCTCGCTTCGGAATAGAGACTACAGGACGCTTAGTGT